TTAAACTTGTCTTTCTCCTTTTCATTCCCATTATTCTAGTTTAGGCTCTCAGTATCTCACCTACACTACTGTAATAGTCTCTTAAGTCACCTCCCTATCTCAAAGTCCATCAACATACAGAAGCCTAATCTTCAAGTTCAGAATTCTGATCACAACACTTTCTTGGTGAAGAATATACCTGTCTGGCCCCATGCACATTACCTCTTCATGCACTCTTTCAACACACTAATCTATCACTAAGTCCTTGAGGATAGAGTCTATTCCTTACTCCACCTGCATATCCCCAGCACTTTACACAGAGCAGATACTTAATAAATATTTGAATGGAATCTCTTGGAAACTTGAACATTGTGGCCAGTCAGAAGCTTGTGAAAGGTTCATGGATCCAGTCAGTATGTTTACAGGCATTCATTACAATTTCCTAGAGATTTAAGAATACATTTTTATTTGTTTGTTGATTAATTTAATGTTGAATCATGAAATCTTTTATACTCTAACTTAATTCTTCTTGCTGGTACAACAGTCTTTGCCACTAGACGCAGGTTCTCTCATGGCATGGTGCTTGTTCTACTTCCTTGCACTCCCCTCAATGTGCCTAGCACACACTCAGATATTTGTTTTATTACTTAATATTTAGTTGATTTCATTAGATCAATTTATTTAATTAATAGAAATTATTTTAGTGAGGGTTTTTTTAAACACACAAAAGCAATTCCAAATAGTTTTCAAGTTAAAAAACTGAGTAACAAATCAAAGAACATGAACATCACTTCCAGGAAGACCTTTCCATCTTAGCAGCTTTATTTTAATGAAGTTATAGTGGCAATATAACATAAAGGTATCCAGATGAAATCCAAACATTATATATTTATGGGCCAGTTCTAAATTAACAACCTTTAATGAAAGATAATTTAAGATGAGGTCGGCTATTTCTAAAGAGTCTGATGAGAGAGTAAAATTATGATGTTGATTAGCTGAAGAAAGATTTGCTAAAAATATCATTCGACAGGACACTTACCTGAGTATTGCACAAATCACACTAGTAAACAAAATTATAATTTGCAGAGTATACTCTGTCTTGTCTTGAGCAAATCATCTGAATTTCTCAGACCCCCATATCAACTGGTTACCAAGTCCTGTCATTTCAACCTTCATACCACCTCTCCTAAATGCCCCTCATCTCTTCACACTTGGACTACTGCAATAGCCTTTTGGCTGGTCTCCCTGACTCACAAGTCTCTCCCCACTACACTCCATCCTCCACTCAGCTGTCAAACTGATCTTCCTAAGATACAGGTCTAATCATGTCACCTTATTCAATAAATTCCAGTGGCTCCCCACCACTTAGGGTTCTAAACCCTTCATAACCTGGATCCCTTCTATCAGTCCAGTCTTCTTATACACACACCTTTTCCTCCCTTCACATACTCCAGTGACACTGGCCTCCTTTACCGTTCCTGACAGGAGACACTCTTATCTCTCAACTCCAGGCATTTTCTCTAGCTGTCTCCTGCCCCTCCCCAGTCTGGAATTCTTTCCCTTTTCATTCCCATCTCCTGGCCTTCCTAGCTTTTTCAGGTCTCAGCTAAAATCATTCTTTCTGCCAGAAATCTTTCCCAATCCTCTTTAAAGCTACTGCCTTTTTCCTGTTGATTATTTCTAATTTATCTGGTATATACCTTGCTTGTACATAGTTGTTTGCATGCTGTCTCCCCCCCCCCCCATTAAACTGTTCCTGGTGAGTAAAGACTGTTTTTGGTCTTTCTTTGTATTCCCAGTGATGAACACAGTGCTTGGCACATGGTAGGTGTTTAATAAATGCCTGCTGAATGACTTCAGTTTCCTTATGGGTCTCTGAGGAATGCATCTGAAATACTACATAAATGAGTTATATGATTAAGCCTTTAATTGTTTTTAACCCCACCTATTTTATCCTTAGAGATGCTAAAGAATGGTAAAATCCTAAGGTCCCATCCTGATTCTCAAACAAAAGGGATGGAAATGTTAATAGCTTTGTGGGGAGTGGGGGGGGGGGGAGGAAGGGGCTGCATGATACAGAACCATTAAGTATTTAACATTAAGTTGCAGAGGAAAAACATCATGAGAAATAACAATAGAACATCAGATAGAATCAATGAAAATAAGCACCCTCCATTAAAAAGAGTGAATAAGTTTTGTGTTCTTGGACACAGGAGAAGTGTAGAGAGCCGGCTGTAAGGGTCCTATCTGGGTTTAAGATCCAGGATAAAGCTTAACCTTTGCCCAGGCTTAACTCACAGGGCTCAAGGCAGGGCTCTCCAAATCTCCCCCTGCAAGGGAGGTTCCGGAGACATTCCGTCTCATTCTCTGAACCTTAGATTTACTTATCACCCCTCTATGCAGGTGATGCCTCAGCACTAGGGAAAAGTCTTGGAGTTTTACATCCCAATCTAGGAACTCTGGTTACCAGAAAATAGGTATTGTCACTTATTAGCAGATGCTCGAGGAGTGTCTCACGGGGATGTAGCTAGGCTAGACTTTCTCTATATAATCTGTACCCTCAGATGAATAAACTGAGTCAGTCCTTACTGCTCCGGCTGGCCCACGTCTAACATTTATTTCGCGCCTTCGCATTTGGTGTACTATCTGATTGCTGGCAAGAGAGAAGTAGCTTTAGCCAGCTTCTAGAAGGCATTATACCTTGTGTGAGGAAGGCAGCATTGGACAAATGCCCAGATCTGTGGATGATATGTGGTAAAGAAACATGTACACTGTAGCCTCATCATAACACCAACAGTATAACACAGGACCACCTTGGACCCTTTCCAAAAGGGTTTAGTTACAAGGAGTACTGGAAGAAGCTATTTATAACTTAGTCTTACCTATAATGTCATTCTACATCATGGACTACATTACAGAGAGACTCTGGTTTAATTCCAAGAGACATGATTTTTATTAAGACGCCTAGTCATCCCTGTTCCTTTCCCTGCCCTCCAACTCCCCAGTTTCTGTTTTTTTAAAAATTGATAGTCAAGTAATTTTAATAATTTTGACAATAAGTATCTATTTTTAGGTATCTTATTCCTCTATTCAAGGAAAGGAAGGATGATCGATACATAGAGATGAGAGTTGCACATGGAAATGGAGTCTATTGAAAATGACTGGAAACAATGATTATATTTTGACAAAAATTCCCATTATCATGGCAAATTCATCATAATTCTTTTAGGTACTTTGTACATAAGGTCATGTATAAAGATATACATGTACATCAGACTCATGGTTTCATTGGTGCAGTAATGTTCTGGTGAAGAAACTCCAGCCACAAATGTATTATCAACAACCAACTGTTCTGGAACTTGTGGCTTAAGAGTTGTCTCCTGTGCCTTGAAGATAAGCGCCTTAACGAAAGTCACAACATTAATATTTTTCAGGAACTGGGACTTGAACATAGGTCTTTCAGTATTATCAGGCTAATTCTCTATTTACCTATTTGATCTGTCTCTCACTGCTTTACATAAGAACCAAATACTAGGATTAGAGCAGCATAATCTTTTACAAAACACTGAAGGTCAGATCTACTGAGGTTCTGAACTATAAAAATTCCTCACTGTCCATAACACAAAAGGATTCCCACACTGGATTAGTAACAACCCCTAAGCTTGGCTCATAGACTAATTCTGATCCATTATGTGCTGAAGGAAAACCAAGAATTCATGGAATGACGGGTCAGGGAAAATCAGTAAAGCTTAAGGGAAGAGTTGTGTTTTGCATGGATGATGTTGCACACAAATTGGAAGAAACAAATAACATCCTCTGCATGGATTTATCTTTAAAGGATATTAGATCTGGAAGGGGTCACAAGACTGGAGATTTATTTTGAAGATTAGACTTCTGGGATAAAGATAACTAAATTGACTTGCCCAAGCTCCCATAATAAACCGAGACTAGAATCCAATTCTCCTTTTTCTACAGCAATTTTGGCATGAATGATGGAAAGGTTGGCCAAGAATAGAGGGGTCAAAGAAGAGCAATAAAAATAGATGTTGTAAAAACCAAACTGATGGTGGGTTACGACTGTTCGACTAACTTAGCATTAGCTACTATAATTATGTATCATTGCTAAGAACAGCTAACATTAATATACTGGAAGTTTGCAAAGTATTTGTACATATTTCCTCATTTGACTCTTACCTTGTGAGGTGGGGTATCATCCCTGTTTTAGAGATGAGAAAACTAAGGCTGAGAGAGCTTAAGGGACTTGCTCAGAGTCACACAGGTAATAAGTATCTGGAGTAGGTCTTTGTGGGCAAAAATCTAAAATCATGAAATTATTCAAGGAATTATTTCAAGAAATTGTATAGGGAAGACCATAGGCCATAAAAGACCATAAAAGACCGGTATACTCAGAAGGCTAATGAAGTACTCCAAGAATAAAGTATTTAATATTAACCTTTTATTCCACCATCCTGGTAAAAAGAGACTCAAATACCACCTAAAATTCTAGACTGTCCACAGTGATAGCTGAGTATACCCCCAAAATTTGGTTTTGTGAAAAGGAATTTTTGAAATTCCCATCCTGAGTCGATTTTTCACTTCAGTCTAGCCTCTTTCCTACATCTGAAATGGGAAATACGCCCAATTGTGTTTTATACTTTATTGAAGGAAAGGTTTATTGAATGAAATTTTGCATGTCTTGATTACTTAAAATACCTGCATTAAAGACAAAAAAGGACCTGAAATTAATACTAAAACATAATAAACCTCATGCCTACAACATAAAAAATGCATAGCATTAAAAAAAGACAGACATCCTAAAATTATCTCACTCAACAGTTTCTTTTCTAATACTCAGCTGGACCATCTTAATTCAGCACTATTAAAGCCTAAATGCTGACTAAGCATTTTGAAGTGACTAATACCCATGCTGCAAATAAAATATCTTTCTCTGAAAATGATCCTTTAGTTCATTGCGTACACTATCAAGTGGGCTAAGACAAATCAGAAATCCCTGCTTATACCAGAGCAAAGCTGATTTATGCAGAGTGCAGCAAGCATCTGAACACCAAGGTTTTGTTGCTTCCGGAAGTACAGAAGTAGGTTCCAAACCGGGAAGGTGAGTTGCGTCCTCCAGATAAGTTAGGGTAGGATAGCTTTCTGGGCCTCGGATCTGGTTCTAGACAAAGCCCAGAAACGCCAAGTCGGATAAATGGGGAGAGGAAAAATACAAAAGCGACTTCTCACAGCAGGGGAGATAAATAACAGCCTTCGTAACCAGTTGTAGCCGGGTAGCCCAGAGGACAGGAGGCTGGAGAGCCAGGGCAATCTCACTGGGGCCCTCTGCGGGGACTCCAAGGCCCCAAGAAAAGACCTTGAGAGCCAAAGGAAGAACGACACCCCCAACCCCCACTTCCTCCCAGAGAGACCTGGGCGACGAGATTTGGGGGACAAATTCGCGCATGTCACGGGTTGGGATAAAGGGGTGATCACTCCACTCCTTCCTCCTCGAATGGAGCTTTCCCCCCAATTCATGAACTGCGATGACTTAAAGAAAAAAAGACTGGGGGAGAGACTGGGCAGGAGCCCCCCGCCAGGACGCCCAGAGATGAAGGGAGGAAGCTGCCAGAAGGGCGCCCCCCAGGTTTGGGGGCGCCGGGGCTGGGCAGGGAAGGCCGTGGGGTGCGGGGGCAGCGGCGCCCCCGGGTGGGGGTCATGGGAACGCCGGCTTTCTCTCTCTTCCCCGCCCCCCCATCTTCCCTCAGCCTCTTAGCCGCTTTACCTGCAGGTGACCTGTTTGGTCCAGCCACCGCCGCTGCCTCCCCCTCCTCCTCCCGCCGCCGGGGATTGGGAGGCGACTGTGGGGGTGAGGGTGGGGGAGGCCGCTGCCACCGCCGCCGCCGCTGCCGCTCCTGATGTTGTGGCTGTTGTTCCGGGAGCTGCAGCCTCCGCCATTACTGTTTATCCCACACAGCAATGGCACCGGAACTTCCGGGATCACATACTTCCGGTCAGGCGGCGGGGGGCGGGGGGGAGGAGGGAGGAGAGAAGGGAGGAGAGACTGGGCTAGCCTCTCCGTACTCCTTCACCACCTCCCCAAACCGCGTCGCGCTACCCCTCCCCATCCCCCCATCCTGCGGTCTGCGCTGAACAAAGTGGGGGGGGGGCCTCGGCCTGAGAGCTTCCTCTGCCCGCCCACACGGCTCCTCTAGCTTCCCTCTGATTGGTGGAGCGCGCTTTCTACCGGCAAACAGGAGGGGCTAGTGACTGGGGCTCTGTACAGGTGTGCTCCGTCTCCAATCATCAACATCAGCATCAAAAGCATCATCAGCATCATCCTGACGATTGAAAATGTGAACGCCTTCTCTATTGATTGTCTCCAGTTTGTTTTGTTTTACAGAGTTGTTTGCGTGTTGTCTCTCCCATTAGACTGTAAGCTCCTCCAGGGAAGGCGCTGTCTTTTGCCTTTTGTACCCTCCAGTATTTAGTAGGGTGCCTGGTACATAGTGTAATAGTTGTTAATGGAGGGACCGTCTGGTCACATAGTATATAGACATCTATATACATGTCTATATAGGTATACATTCATGCTCATATACATAATGTCTGTATTACCTAGGGCTCTGTGATTGACAAAAGCTTTGGCCCAGATTATGTAGCATGTCCACCTAATATACTTAAGCCTCTCTTAATATGTCTTTACTTTAGCTGTTCAATTGACAAGCATTTATTAAGCAGCTTACTACCTGCCAGGCACTGGGCTAAGCACTGAAGTTACAAAGAAAGGTAAAAACATGGAAAGCTTATATTAGATTGCATGCCGTCTTGGGGAGAGGAGAGGGGAAATAGGGGGAACAATTTGGAAGTCAAAATTTTATAAAAGTGAATATGGGAAACTAAAAATAAATATATAAAAGAGGGGGAAGAAACAAAAAGGGGCAAAAGACAGTCCCTGTTTTCAAGGAGTTTACAATCCAATTCGAGAGAGAACAAGCAAACAGATACAAATAAGACATATACAGGATAAATTGGGAATAATCAACAGACGAAAGATACTAGCATTAAGGGGGATTGAAAAAGGCTTCTTGTAGAAGATTAGATATTTGGCTAGGGGACCTTGATATAGAATTATACTTAATAATATTATATAATTATATAACAATGCATATTACATAATTAAATGTTATAATTGAGCAAATAAATATTAATTATATGTACTATGTTGAATATCAATATGGTATAGAATTCTATTAAAATAAAATTTTATAACAATGTAGAATATATAGTACAATTATGTAACAAAGTATAATATATTAATATAAGTTAAGTAATATACAGTATATAATGATTATAATTGATTATAATAATACTTATAATGAAAACCCTTATAGATTTCAATTTGGCTATTTGAAATCAGACAGAAATTTGGATAAAACATATCTGAAAGAGGAATGGATGTTAATGAGTAAATGGGATTCTACTTAATATACTACTTCTCAGAAATGTATCTTTTACTGGGAGAGAGGCATAACTGTAATCTACTCCCTGTAATTGAGGCTTCCTCTCAATCTTCCAATCACCTGTCATCTGTCAATGAAGGCTCTGGCTGTTCTGGTTGTTAAGGTCAGAACATGACAGTATTGTAATATAACTGAAAGCCTGAATGAAAAAAAATTGTCCATCTTATGAGATAGGTTGCTATGGCCTGAACTTTAAAACCCTTCTGATTTTCCTCTCAGGATGCACTTTGGACTTCCTCTACCATGACCCAGCTCTTCATTCTGAAGCCTCACTCCAGCCCTGGAGCTGACCCATTGGAAAAACCCTCCATGCCTGTGACTTCTCCCTCAGATTGGATGACTTCTCCCAGAACCTCCAAATAAAGACAGCACTCAGGCTAGCTGCATTCCAGATTTTCTCTACCATGCCTCCTCAAAGGTTCTCCTCCTTGTCCCTTTTCCAAGTGCCTTTTTTTGTACAGTCCTCTGTGTTTCAAATATAAGCTCCTTAAGTGCAGGAACTATTTTCGTTTCTATGTGTACTTGTATGCCTAGCATTTCTAAGTAAGCACTTATATGGTCATTGACTTCTGATCCACCTGCAAATGGGCTCCATACTTGCTGTAAAGCCCTAGTTAGACTCCTTGAGTTCTCAGTCTTTAGAAAGTCATGGAATGCTACAGCTGGAAAGCGCCTTAGAGACCCTTCAACCTCATGTCCTTAACTTCCTTATTTCTGTTTTTGTTTTTGTTTTTGCTAGGCAGTGGGGTTAAGTGACTTGCCCAGGGTCACACAGCTAGTACGTGTTATGTGTCTGAGGTCAGATTTGAACTCAGGTCCTCCTGAATCCAGGGCTGGTACTCTAACCACTGCACCACCTAGCTGCCCCAACTTCGTTATTTCTAAGAGAAGGGAGGTTGAACTACATGGTCCCTATGACCCCTTATCGCTGTAAGAATCTATGAAGCTATGACAGAAAATAAGTAGAAGACTTCATCACATTCCTGCTTTAGCTTATAGTTTAGCTAAGGATCATTGTAACCTAAAACAATTAGGAAGAAACTAAAAGAAAATTCAGTTGTCAGTTAATCAAAGTGACAAGGTATAAGTGGTCCCTGCCCAGAGTTTCCAGCCTGGGTGAAAACAATCACTAAAGACAATAACATTAACACTAAGATTGTCTTGGTTATGTGGTTATAACCAAAACCTGGTATTTTGTTTTCTTGAACAGAAGGAATTAGCCACATTTAAGGAAAAATACCCTAGATCAGGGATTCTTGATACCCTAGATATCCTAGATACCATAGGCCAGGGGTCCCTGGCTTCCCAAGGAATCTATGGATTGATTTCAGGGATTCATGAAATTGGATGAAAAAAAAACTTTTATTTTCACTGACCCTTAGCTGAAATTTAACATTTCTTTCAATTATGAATTAAAAAAAAACAAAAACCCAAACCCATGTTTCTGGGAAGAGGTCCATAGTTTCAGCAGTCAGCCAAAGGGATCCATGACACAAAAAGGTTAAGAACTTTTCCCCTATCATAATCCAAGTCAATCAATCAATCAATCAACAAGCATTTATTAAGTGTCTATTATGTGTTAAGTACTGTGCTAGACACAGAAGATACAAAGACAATAGCACAACAGTCCCTGACCTTGAGGAACTGGCAGTATTCCTATGGGAGACATGTACATGAGTAGGTATATACAAAATTGTATGTTGTAAATATAATATTGTGGAAAAGGCACTAGCAGCTGGGTGGTGAATCAGGAAAGGCTTTATGTTGTGCTTAAGTTGAGTCTTGAAGGAAGCTAGGTATTACACTAGATAAAGGTGAGGAGAGAGGATATGCCAGGCAGGGGGAACAGCTAATTCAAATGTATGAAGATGATGTGGGGAACAGTAACTTTGGCTATTGTGGAAACACTTCCACATAGTATGGAAGAAGCAAAGTAATGTGTACTAAATCTGGAAAGATTAGGGTGGGGCCTGGTGGCAAAGGAACAGAGGCTTTTACATTTGATCCTAGGGACAGTAGGGAACCATTGTAGTTCACTGAATGGGAGAATTACATCGTCAGGTCTATGCTTTTAGGAAGAGTTTTTGCAGCCAATTGAGGATGTGAATAAAGGCGGTGTGATAACACCAACATCTACCAGGGTTCCGTTTTGGGAAAGGAAGCTCAGGCTAGATTTTCCCTAACAGGCAACAAAGCTGGACTTGATTGACCAGGGGAGCTAGGGCAAGGCTCAAGCCATGCCTTCCTTGACGCAGCTTCCTGGGAGCCTCATGGCTTCCTTGTCACCAAGGGCATAATAGTGGAGGCAAGAAGACCTAAGCTAAGGTAGCTATGTGAAAAGAGGGAAGAAGATGGAAACAAGAGATGTGAAGTTATCAACAACAAGATTTAGAAACTGGATATGTGGAGTGAGGGAAAGTAAAGAGTATAGGATGACAGACATTTCAAACCTAGATAACTGAAAGTATGGTAGTGCCCTCTGCACAAATGAGGATGCTCAGAAGAAAGGTGGGTTTTAGGGGAAAGATAATAAATGTTGAATTTGAGATGCCTATGGGACAATCAGTTATATAAACAATACGTAGTTCATGATGGATGCTCAGGAGGGACCCTCAGGCTAGATCTGAGAGTCATCAATATACACAGGATAAATAAACACATGGGAATTGATGAGGTATTTATGAGTATAGAGGGAGAAGAGAAGAGGGCCCAAGAGAGTATGGTCTTCCTGCAAAAGAAACTGAGAAGGAGCAGTAGGACAGGTAGGAGAAGAACTCAGAGGACGCAGAGTATTAAAAACCCAGACTGGAGAGTGTCCAAGAGAGCAGGATAGGCCACAGTGTCAAATGCTGCAGAGAGGGTGAGAAGGAGAATAGAGGAGAACAGGTCAGACTTGGTATCGAAGAGATCATTGGACAGCAGAAGAAATTCAAACAATCAGGGCAGCGTTGGCATTTGAGTAGATACTTGAAAGATGCATGAGAAGATCATAGATCCAGGGGGCAGCTAGGTGGTTCAGTGGATAGAGCACTGGCCCTGAAGTCAGGAGGACTTGAGTTCAAATCTGGCCTCAGACCAAACACTTAGTAGCTGTGTGACCCTGGGCAAGTCGCCTAACCCTAATTGCCTAAAAAGAAAGATCATAGATCCAGAGCTACAAGATTTCAGAGGCCATCTTTCCAACCATCTCTCTTTATTTGTTTGTTTGTTTGTTTGTTTTTTTAGTGGGCAGTTGGGGTTAAATGACTTGCCCAGAGTCACACAGGTAGTGAGTTTTTATGTGTCTGAGGCCGGATTTGAACTGAGGTCCACGGGTCTGCCAGAGACAGTTTTATTTAATATAACATTCTAGGGGGCAGCTAGGTGGTACAGTGGACAGAGCACTGGCCCTGAAGTCAAGAGGACCTGAGTTCAAATCCGGCCTCAGACCAAACACTTAACACTTACTAGCTGTGTGACTCTGGGCAAGTCACTTAACCCCAATTGCCTAAAAA